GGATATGATTTTGAGGTTTCGCAGTATCTAGCCCGTAATTTACTAGACGGAGATTATACAGGAAACTAAAAAAAATTAGTACGAATTATACCAAAAGCACTTGTACGCTAGGTTGCGATCTAGGCACATGATGAGACGACAAGCTCGGTCATAAAGCAATGCGTTTTATTGTACCAGCATGTGACTGTTAATCGACATAACCGCCGAATGACCTGTCTTTCATTTGGCGCCCCAGGTGAGTGAAGGAGTCACAAGAGCAAATGATGACGGTAATACTGTGAGAAAGGTCGAGCCTTTTCAAAAAGGAGGCAAGAGTGAGGTTACGCAGGGTCTAATGGGGGCAGATCTCACCACAGACTGCCTAGAAGAGCAAATAACAAGCGCCGATATGTAGGTCGAAAAAGCCTCGCAGCAAACACAAGAGGGTAGGTGGATGTGGTGCTAAACTGCGTGGCAGCGGCCGCTTATTTTATTGCGTCGGCGGCAAATCACACTTAACAATAGACGTAGCACGCATTGTTGCCTCACTCCAGGGGTTAGAAGAAACAAAGAGTTACATGTGCTACAAAGATTTCGGCAATGAATGTTGGAAGGTAAATTGTGCGTTAACTTCCACAATTTTAATAGGTTTCCAAGATCCGCGGTAAGAGTGGAGCACCAAAATGACAGCCAAGATGCGTGCGGCACATATTTAAGTAGGGAAGCGCATATGAAGCAAAATGCTGTAAAATTGTGCTTTTATAAACCACTCACTTCACTCACTCGTATACATAAATACAAACATACATGAAAATGCCCCTGGGTAAAAAGTTAGTCTTATGAAAATTGCAAAATCAAGCATGTTTTAGATTGATACGGGAAGAGAAATGCAGCCGGTACGTTACAGATTTGAGGAAAAGAGGCGACAAACTTACTGGCTACATCTAGGGGGAAAAACAAAACCCATTATATGTTTACAGTGTCGATTATTAAGTTGATACAAACATTGAACAAATTTTAACATTGAATACTGTAATTTAACATTCAATTAAAACATTAAAAATAGTAACTTACAAGACGTTAGCGCTATTTGTTGCAATTTGCTTGCGTAACACTCGCCGCCACATTTGTACTGATTGTCAAAAGGATTTTGTGACAAGCAGATGTGTACCAGGCATATTTTTAGGTGGAATTATGCGTATTCTCGCAAAAGTATACAAATTACTCAATAATTGTGAAGTAAATCAACTAGCATGCCATTTGTTGACTCTTTTGTAAACGCTGTCGGAGGAGAAATACAGCCGAAATTTAAGTTATCCCAAACCGAAATAAGAGGTAAAAATGTGGGTCCATATAGCTGTTTGCCGTTTATTGTTTTGCTGACCATAATAAATACCAACCAGTTATGGGCACATGTGCAGGAGCAACTATAGAACAACTAAAAACGGCGGCTTTATCAGAAGGTAAGACAAACGGTTTTACTATTTTAAACAATTTCGCCAAACGAAGAATTAAATTAAGATGGGACAAACCAGAGTGCACCGACGCTGAAAGCATTAAAACATCCTATTCGTCTGAACACAAATCAATGTTTTGTACTTTCGCATACTATAAAGCATCCCAGACTAGGCATGGGAAATTAGCTCAAAAAACTAACTGGAACTATTGAGGTCACCTTTCGTTGTAGCGTCGGAGGCCTTAGCAAAAGTCCTCAGTGGAGTAGAGCACAAGTTATGCGATGAAAGCTTTGGTAAGATTAGGAGACAGAAAATTATGCATACGCACCCGCACTATGACATTCAGAGGTCGTGTTACCGACCGTATGAGATTCGCATCCAAAAAGCATAACATGAATCCCGTTCAAGGTTCATAGTTTGACTCTGAAAACTCGACCGCGTATATAATGCGCACAGATGTGATGGTGTTTGGGCCAAGACTGGCATTTCTTCGCAATAGGCACCATAAATGCCATCAGCTGGACATGTGACCAACAAAAAAGGAGGAGTTTGTAACGACGGGCAGTGGGATTGGGGTTTAGAATTGTGGTATGGCTAATGTTACCAAAAATGAAGTGGCGAATACGAAAATTTACGTAGAGAGCTTCTGCATCTTCAGCATAGGGCTAAAAACTTTTTTGTATCTTTCAAAAGCCAAAAGCCCTTGCTCCTTAGGTAGTGTGCCAATACAGTGGTTAACGGATGGGAAACTTCATGCCAAACTCTATTTTCATGGGAGCTACTGCCACATATACAGAATCATGTCATTAGGTTTGGTGCAAAAATTGCACCCAAAAGGTCAATATCACATTCTCTAGTGGAAAACCTAGATGGTTTGGTGAAAAGTCCACTTTGGATGAATGTTTTTTGGTATCGTTTGAATTTTGTATCAGCAATCTGTGGTTGTTGTAACACGTAGGAAACAAGTAAACGTGAAACTGGAGGAAATGGCTGTTCTAGGAAATATGACTGCTGGACCAACCCAACATTCCAGCAAGGTGATAATGAAAGCGAGAGGGGAACTATACAGATCGTTAAAATAAATATAGAAAGGAGGAACTATTAGAACCTATCTATAAGACGTTTTATAGGAACTAAAAATTAGGACCACACCCTCCCAAAAGTAAAAATTAGGATCTTTAAAAAAATGATCACCGTTTCAAATGGAGCGAATCGCCTCTGGAGCCTAGACCGTCAGTAGCAAAGCAACAATCAAGGTCGATTGATAGAAGAGGCCATTAAAAAGCAAGAATTTCCAACCCAAACCTTTACGGCATAAATCTTTACTGGTGACAAAAATCTATTGCGCAGATGGTAACTGTGATACTAAGTAGATGGAAACACTAAGGATCTCTTGGTACGTCACTAGGACTAGATAGTGATGAGCCAGATAGCAGCAAAACCTGCATCCTTAATCCACACTACCAATAGTTAGTGTAATCGGATGCAAGAAAACTATGAGCAGGTTAGCGAGAGAGATAAAAAATTAGCAAACGTACTGCTCCAGTCGGCTAGGAAACCGAAGATGCGACCGCGGATGATTTTACGCGGCCGACGTTTGCGGTGCTTGTGTAGGTGCACAAAAATGGACGATTTCGACGCCGAGGCGGTGGGAGTGGAAGGTGGAGAAGGGGGGTTGGCGTTGGAAGAAGAGTGTGGAGGCACACCCGAATCGCCTTCCAAAATAGGTGGATGGAAACGTCGTGCGCCCACCGGAGATGCGGGCTTACCGTTCGTGGCCAAGTCGCTCCTATCGTCTGGCTTTGTATTCGCCTGCAAAGTGATTATCAAGTCCTAATCACACAGTGTGTAACTGAATATAGTATCAATAGGTGGTATGATTGGGAATGGATATCTAAATAATAGTTGGCTATCTGGTGCGAGGTGTTAATAATGTTGACAGAGTATAGCAATTTTAAAGAAACGTAGTTTTCGTTGGTGATGTATGCATAATACTTCGTAAAAGTGCACTTGGCACTGAATGTCATCACATAGGCCTGTGTCAGGCGTGGAGGGTACGGCTTAGTGGACGCCATGTGAAATAAAAATGTGATCAAGAGGGAACATAAACAGGAACCCCAGAATCCTCATAATATGACCTGAAAAACAAGCAAAGAGCATCCATCAGAGAAGCAGAGTAGAATAAAAGTACCTTGGTGACTGAAGTTGTAAGGAACTCAGAAGTGCTATCCTCCACCATGACGTCGAGAATCGGCGGAGGAACACCCAGTGGAGTAGCCTTCTGGGACCATCTCGGCAGACGGCCATTAGACTGCAGCAACACTCCACGGCTTGGAGATCGCGACGACCAGAAGGCCGAGGTCCACCTGCAACTGTACTGTTGCTGCTGCTGCTCAGTAAGACTCTCGCTCCGATAGACCGGGGACCGGAAGAGGCGCGTGCCTCGCCGCATCTCACTTGCTGACTGGTCAATTCGACTCTGTCGCTTGTCTATAAGGGTAAGGGAGACGAAAAGTCGTTAACTTTAACGGATATATGCAATCCTTACACAACAGATGTACACACACCCAGTCTTTCTCTTTCATCGGGAGGGGGGGCCGAATCACCTGAAGAGCTGTCCGAATCAGTTTCGGTGGAGGGCAGTGCTTCATCTTCCTCTTCTGCAGTATGGGAGGCGGTCGCAGCGATGATCGCAGCGTGAAGAACACTGCTAACAGAGGCGGATCTCTGGTGTTGTCGAGGAGGAAAAAAGGAGGCGGCCTGAGCGGTGCCTCCAACACTCAAAGGCGGTGCGGTAGTGGGTGCGGAGGTGACAGGCACGTTGCCGGAGAAAGATCTCTGGTGGTGCTGATAAACTGCACGTTGCTGATAAGATTTGTGGGACATCGGTTGGGCCTGTGAGGCAGGAAGGAAAAAGGGCAGTGAGGTCTCCGCAGAAGAGTTCGGTTTCGAGTCACTCAGCACACCGTCCACGGTCCCACCGCTGTTGCTACTGCCAGCAATCATGTCAGACTCCAAAGACCGCTTGTGTGGTGTAAACGAGGAGCGCAGAGTTCGGGGAAACATTATGAGAATAGAAGCGCCGATAAAAACTCCCAGACCTTAAGGAAGAATAAACATATGAAAGTCCCTTAATGGAAATTAGACAGATATACAATGTACACGAACTCACCAAGTATGATATAGCCAGCCCACCAAAGGCCAATCCAATTCTCACTGGCTGGTGTCAGGGTACTGCCAATAACCTTCGTTTTTGACCACTTATCCATAGGATGCTGCAACATTAAGGCACCCAGAGCATAGCCAAAAACAGGACCAAGTGCAGCAGCAGCGTATAGAGAGGCTAAATAACAAGCATAAACTTAGGAGTCCAGTTGCACAAACGAAAAACTTGGGCAATAATGAAACACACCAATCATTGCAGGAGCCTTAGAAGGGGGCACGTGATCATCCACAAAAGGTGGAGCCAGGGTTAAGATAGGACTTGATCCCGCACCGATGAGAAACTGGGCGAGTAGTAAAATCGGTAAGAAGTGATATGATCCATCAAATTTAGTGTTGCAAGATGATTTTTTGGAGAATGTTTGGTTGAGCGAGGAATCTAATGAACACAAATGTTCGTTACCACCAGAAGAAAGTGATGAGTCATAGTGAAAGAGAAACTGAGGCGTTGAAAACAGAAATGCACCACATGACATAGCAAAAAGCCCACAAGCGATCCACAGCGGCACTCGGCCTTTGGCTCCCAAATAGCTGACGATCATAACGCAACTGATGTAGCCAACCTCAAAAAACGAGTTGATAGCTCCGATAACAATGCTACCAATTGCGAATCGCTTTTCCAAAGTTGTGATCTGGGAACTAGTGTACCCAGAGTAAGAAGCCTGAAGACAGGACACAAAACACATAGCTGCTATAAATGCACGTATATCTCTGAGCGGTTCTAAGCAAGACGGGCGCCACAACCCAATGCCACAATATTCGACTTTTGGATCCTTGCTTGAGTCCCTAGCCTCGCTTTTCCACGGAGAAGCTGATACTCTGAATG